TTGTTAACATTAGTCGTTCAATTCGATAAGTGTAGCGAATAGCGATGAAGTATCGGTTATATCGAATGACCCGTTAACTTTTATATTTTTCACTGGTCAAGTGCAATATTTTCCACTTAACCTTTGCTATTGTAACTGCCAGAAAAAATAAAACCGGAAGAAAAAATTGTTAGTAAGTTGAAAGAAGTATTATCTTCTTTAAATTTTAATAGATTTTTATTTGAATAAATTGTTTTTTTTTTTATTTCCACCTATTTTTACTCATTTATCATCATGTATATGAATGAATCATGCATGAAATGATACGATATGATTATATGGAAATGTTATAACTATCAATTGTTTTTCTTTTGCATTACTCAACATTAAAATAATTGCAGAATTTGGGGATAGGAAAGATTTGATAAGGATTGATGAACCGAATAAAATGATGGAAGGTATTTCAAGCCGTTTAAAAGTATTTGTTGACGGCAAACGATGCTCCGCGGAGAATTTTATAAAATGTTTGTTTTTGGATCTTTGATGTCAATAACTAAACGAGTCGTGTTTTTTTCTTTTTCTCTCTGTCTCTCTTTTTCTTTTAATGGAATGATATTGGAACGTTCTCGGAGGTCGGGGAGGATGGATACTCTCTCTAAATTACCGGGGAAAGATGATTCTTTACAATCGATCAATTTTCCTTCATTTACTAATTTTCAAAGAATGATACTTTCCGGTAATTTTGTTCAAATTTGACCCTGTTAAATAATAGTCTTGAATGATTGAAATGTTTCAATAATGCTTTTCAATAAAATGAGCTATAGCTATTACTTGACGGAACTTCTTGCAAAAATTAAATTATGTGAGTCAAAAGTAGCAAAGTTTTATAAAAGATAAAATATCATTGGGAGTTTAATTTTCATTACTAATAATGGTATTTATTAATGATATGTATACATTTGCTTGCAAGTTTGATTATCATATTTTAGCCAGGTGTATTTTAAAGCTTTCAGTTAATAACAAATTCATAATATTATAGTATGATATTATTTTAGATGCAAAATTGAGAATAAATGAAAGTGAGGATGAGGATGGAACGGAAAATAGTAACGAAAATATTGAAGTAAAAATGAAAATGGAAGCGAAAATTGATGATAAATATTTGCTTGTCCTAACAGAACCCGCTACTGTTTTATCAGTAGCTTGCACGCTTGATGCAAAAGTATGTTTACTCTCGCTAATGAACTTAATTTATAACTTTTAATTATACGTACAGAATAGGATGGGGTCGATAAATTAATCTAATTGAATAAAATACGTAAAAATTTTTCAATGATAAAAGCATATCATATATGATATAAATATTGAAATTGACATCATTTGTTTATCATATGTTAATCATCAATACTTCGTACATGTTTTATTACATTTTGCATATATTAATATGCTATTTTGTTTCTTCAACTATCGCTTTACATATTTATTTCTATGTAGAAAATATTTTCATCCATAAATTTTAGCAATAATTTACATAATTTACATAAAACACTTCAATATTTGTTATTTCTTCAACTCTCATAAAACATCATTAAATTTTTATAGCTGTGAAAAAACAAATAGTGTTTTAGTTTTTAAAACTTTTGAATGAACTTCTATTAATCTTAATCATATCGTCATTATGCTGCTATCCATTTCTTTTTTTTTTCAGTTTTTTTTTTTTGATTTCACTTTTAGGGGCGTATTTTTCGGGCTGATGATGGCATGGCATTATTACTCGGATACGTTTCCATGCGTGAGCTTTTAGGCACAGAAATATCAAAACTTGTTCCCGCTGTACAAGTAAGTAACTTTCATTTTTGCTAATTTACGCAATTCATTTTCTAAAAATTTATACTTACTTCATTGACAAATGATCGAATTACAGCTTGAAGCGGATTGTGAAGTACAGCATGTTTGCGCTTTGAGTATTTATGGTAGCTCAATTCCAGTTACTGTAGAAATTAATACCGAAAAGGACCCGGAAAGTAAGTTAAGCATTTTTCATTTTTAATTTTTGAGGCTTTTTTTTCCTCTTACAAAGTTCTGATTGCTATTATTTCATTCGTAGACATGTTTGTAGAATTAGAGTTTTTATCAAATTATTCAACTATTTTTCCATGCTATTATTGTGTTATCATCAAATGATTCTATTATTGTGTTATCATCGATGCTATTATTGTGTTATCATCAAATGCTCTTATCATGATATAAGGTTCTTATAGTATCAGTAATCTTCTTTTATATTTTAATCTATGATTATAATTCAAATCTCGCAGTCAATAAATGAGCAGATTAATGAATTTGAAAAAAATTGAAATTTTTACATGATACCATTTATAGTCTTTTCCGATAAGATTCATTTAACAATTTATTCTTGGAATAAAAATGATTTTCAACATAATGATTATTCAATTTAATTTCTGTTCACTTCTTCCCATCGATGATATTTTCTGTAAAAGATAATGAATTTTATCCCTAATTTTTTGTTTTTTTTTTTTCAAACTATAAAGGCAAGCAAATGAAATGCTAAAATATTTTCATCATTTCAGTTAGCGAACCAATATTGTTATGTTTTTGATTGTTGTTTGCATTTTCAAAAAAAACGTTTTAAAAATTGAAATTTATTAAATGCCTCAATTTTGCGAAAGCTTTTAAATTTCTTTATTGCTCAAATTTTTTTCTAATGCAAAATAAATATAAATTTTGTAGTTTTCATAAGCAATAATTGATGCTAAAAGTAAAAGTTCGAGAATGAATTGGAATTTTAATTATTGAGAAATCAAAATCTTTTTTCACAACTCATTTTTGTATTTTCGTGCAGAATGAGATTTATAAATTTAAAGTACACGAAAAATATTTGTGGATTCAAGTTTTGCAATTACTTCTAGATATTTGATACAATTATCATTTAATCAAATTTCAAATAATTTAGTTTACCTTCGAAACCTCAAAAATATAATAGCAAAATATAATAGCAATTTACATTAACAATTTTCGATGAGTTACTATTCAGCTAAAAAATATCGCCGTAAAAAACAACTAATCCATTTCAAAAAATTTTATCTTTCAATTTTTCATATTTTGCTTTTTGTAGAAATTTAATGTAATTTCATGCTAAATTTCTTTAATTGTTTCATTGTCTAATCAAAGAGAAGCATTTATAATTAAAATGATAAATATTTCTCCTCTGTTAATTAGTGATAATTTTCTCGTCTTTCAAATAATGACAACGTTGAATGTATCGAAGATTTTTTCGAAGTAGTCAAATATTTACACATTTAAAATCTGAATTACACAGATTTGTAATTTCGCATAAATGAAATAATTTATGCTTTTTACGAATTTTAATTATTGATGAAAATGTGAAAGCGCCTAAAAAATATTTCTTTAATATTTCATATATTTCGAATAAATTAGTTTGATTTCATGAATATAAAAATATAACAAATTATGACGGAAAATTACAATTTTTATGCGAAGTATCGGTAATTTTGCAATTCGTTTGATCTTTTTTCTTTTCTGATCAATCACAAACTGATCAAATCATTGTTAAAAAAAAAAAAAAAAACATTTTCAGCACAACGACCACATCTGTATGAATTACAAATTCGAACATTTTCCACTGTTAGCGGTATTGTCATTTTAACAGAGTCGGGCGCTTTGCATAGTTTCAATGAAGATTTCATTGAAGCATTAATTGGTAAAAAGCAAAAAGAAGCATTAAAAGATATGGCTGTATGTTTGTGACATTCATTTCAACTATTAGCACTTTTAGTTTCACAAAATTTTCAATAATTTTAAATAGTAGAAACAAATTAGGAACAAAATAATTTGCTTTTTGAAATTGCAATAATTTAAAATTTCACAGTCAATTATTCGAATTATTCTTCATAAAATTTTTTATTTTAGCATATTACCGATATAATTCCGAAATTTCATAGTCATCTAATGGCTTCACCGCTATATGAAACACACAATGAAGAAGCGATGAAAATTTCGGATGAACAATTCAACAATGCTATAAATAGAAATGGTTTGTTCAAGCTGTATTATTTTGATCAGGAAATTATTGAAATATCAAATTGACAAAGTAAATTTTATCATTTGAATAAAATTAAAAAAACACGGAAAATATGTAAATTTACAAAATTTAAAAAAAGAAAAAACTTGTGAAAATTAAAATATTAATTATTAATTGGTGCTATTTTATTTCAGATTCAACTCCTTCTCGTACGCATTCATCAGTCACATGGCTGATAAATGATTTAACCTTATCATTGCATAGGATGGAAGCAACTGAAAGTATTGTTAGCACCAATTCCTCACATTCATCTATTTCATACACCGAAGAAACATGCTCATCAATACCCTCAACAAGGTCATATTCTTATCATTCTTCTCTATCTGAATGATAATATTTATCATCTAATCTAATGATTATTATCAGTGAATAATGGAATATATTCAATTATGAAATAAATAATATTTTCAGCTCACAATTCACTGAAAATATTCGATTATGTGACAACAAGCAACAATGGAATGAAATGATAACTGATAAGGAGAACCAGAATGAGCCAATTATAGAAGGCTCATTTTATGGTTTTGCAAAACATTCCGATAGCAATTTAATTGGTTTGTTTTAAATTCTTCATTAACATATAATTAAAATAATAAAGAATGCTAGGAATTAACATATTTATTGATTAACTAATTATTAAGAATTGCTGATTGCTTAAATTAAGCAAATATTAGAAATGTTGAAAAGCTAAATGTGAAATATAAATGAGTAGGTAGAGGGCCTTTTTAAAAAAAAAAAAATTTCTAAATTATACTGCTTTTTTGAAAAGCTAAATATGAATGCTAAATGAATGTGAAATATAATGGAATATCGTAGGGGATAAAAGTTTTCCAATCACTGATTTGATATACATTTTTTTTTTGTTTTAGCCATATGTTTCAACATAAGACGATTGAAGCCAAGCAATGGCGCAAGCTGGGCTGTTTGTATCAGTTACAATAAAACAGTTAATTTTGGCTTTTTTGATCATGCGGCGAAGATGAAAGGATCGATTAATGAAAGCATCTCTGTTAATGAGAATATTTGCGCATGTAATGATGACAGTTATCGATTTGATTTTAAAGTTGAAAAAAATCAGATGACTACGGTAAGCCTCATTTTATTTCATTGCAGTGATCTTTTATGGGGTGAAATTTAAACAATTAATTTTGCTGTTCTTATTTTGATTTATTGATAATGACATTGTAATTTCTTTTCTCTTTTCATTTTTTTTTTTTAAAATCTTTATTTTTGCTCATTTATTTTGTACAACATTTCATTCAACTATATTATTAATAATGCATTTTTATAGTTAAAAGATTATTTTTAGGCTGAAAACGATGATGAAAATGCGCAAGCAATAGTTGGTGAATATTCGAAATATTATGATACACAACATTTAATTGGTAATGGTGCATTTGGTTCGGTGAAATTGACCGCTCGAAAGGATACGGGTATTTTGGTAAGGACTTTTTAATTTTTTACTTATTTATGAGAAAAAGGAAAATCAAATTTACAGTCAATAATTTGATGTGATGTCAGTAGGAGTTGATTTAATTTAATCAATAAAATGATATTTTTATTTTTGAATTTGGTACAAATTTTGCCTACAGTGTAAAATAATAATTCAGTGTAAAATTTTAGGCGGTTGCAAAATTTATTTGCAAATCAAAAGTCTTTTCGGAAAGTTGGATACCAAGTCCTAAGCGTGATAATCGAGTGGTACCAATAGAGCTTCATCTTCTCGAAACATTATCACATCCAAATATCGTAAAGGTTTTTGCTTCTTTTTTTTTATGTCTATAATTATGATTTTTTTTTCATTTTAAAATTTTTATAATTTATTTTTACAAATAATGGCATTGAATGAAAATTTAATTTTGCAGCTATTGGATGTTTTTGAGAATGATATGTATTACCAATTAGTAATGGAGAAACTTGGCTGTGGAATGGATTTATTTGAATTCATTGAACAACAACCAAAATTGGATGAACCACTTATAAGCTATATTTTTAGACAGGTTAATTAACAATGAATTAGAAATTACTTCATTTGCATGATTCTATTTAGCATAACTTTATCGTTATCGTAATTTATTTGAGTATGTTAATGGTATTCAGATTTCACTTTAAAGTTTTAAAGCGTACTTTTTTTTCTTTTTTTTTTTGCAACATTCATACTTCAAAGAGAGATCATCAAACCGTAAAAATTCCGAAAATTTTTTCAGAATAGATTTTTTTTAAATTCAAATCTCTTTTTTAATCATCACATGACTTTCTTGTAAATTTGATCAATAAAGTAAATTTAATCAAAGAAAAAATGCTTATTTTTTTAATATTTCAGGTAGTTAGCGCAGTAACTTATCTTCACTCTAAAAATATTGTACATCGTGATTTGAAAGATGAAAATGTTATCATTGATCAAAATTTTTCATGCAAATTAATTGATTTTGGATCAGCTGCATATTTTGGTCAAAATTTTGTTTTTTCAACATTTTGTGGGACAATGGAATATTGCAGTCCGGAAGTTTTGCAAGGAAATAAGTGAGTTCTTGAAGTTTGCTTAAAATAATCATTTTTACACAGTTTTTAAATTTTCCAAAGTTATTTACTGAAAATTAAAAAACAAAAAAAACGAAAAAAAAACTTACTTTATTTAAGTTGGCAAAATCATTAATGATCATCATATAACATTGATTGATTGATTCATCTAGATATCGCGGTCCTGAACTAGAAATGTGGTCTTTGGGAATTTTATTGTATACACTTGTATTTTTCGAAAATCCTTTTCGCAATTTAGAAGAAGCTATGCGTGCTAAAATTAAACTTCCATGGGAAATATCAGAAGGTAAATTATATTTAAGATGTTTGCACAAAACGTATAATACGTGTTGTATTCTAGAACATCTCTTTTTTTAATTATGAATATAGAAAAGAATTTTTTCTTAACAAATAAACATACAGCAATAATAATGAAAATTTCTATATTAATTAGAATTTAAGTCTTAAAATTTGGTTAGTTATTTAATTTGAAATTTCTCATTGCTGGTAAAAAAAAGTTTAAGTTTATTCTAAATTATATTTCAGGATTGTTTCAAGTAATTGCATGGCTTCTACAACGTGATCCACAACTTCGAGCTACAGTACAAGATATTGGCAATCATTACTGGGTAAAGCAATCAATTGATTTGCGAAAATATAAATTTCAGGACGTGCTTCAAAGACACGGTAATTAATAATCATTTATCATTTTCTTTCTTTTTTTACAAACAAAAAAAGTAAATGATTTCTAAGTATTATTAGAAAAAAAAGCTATCCGAAAAAGTTTTTGCTCTTATTAAACTAATTACTTATTCTTGTTAACTAGCATATGAATTTTTAATTACGTAAAAAAGATGATTCATTCAAGTTGCTAAGATTTATTCCATATTTTTAATATGTTTTCAGTTACATTGATAAGTAGATGAACTATTCTTCCATACGGTATCAATTAGATGAATTATTCCATACAGTATCAAATAGATGAACTATTTTGAATAGGTACAAGAAACAAAATTTTTCTGACAGAAAAAGATTAATTCAGCAAAATTTAGCAATTTAACTTCTTGTATTAAATTCGTTTTATATTCCACTGACTTCATTTCTAATCAATATATTTGTTCAGTAATTCTCACTAATAAATAAATTAAATTTTAGATCATCCACAATTTGCTCCATCAGATCAGATTAGGGATCAGAATTGATAAATGATTTGAAAAATACGCCAATCTGTTCGGCGTCATTGGTAATGGATGATGCAAATGCAAGAAATGGAATTGAAAATTAAAATCGCATAAATACCATTTCAGTATTCTTTTTCTTTTACTACTTAAAAAACTTTAATACATATATACTTTGCAGGAAGTTTTATTGAATTAATTTTTTTATTTGTGCGATAGCATATAATATTAATAATTAATTTCGTGCATTTCTTTCTCTTTCTTTCTGTTTATATTTTCTCTGTCGAAAATTCCATTCGTCTACTTAAAAAAAAAGAATAAAAATAGGAAAACTTCCTTTGCTAAACATTGAATTTTTGATTTTGAAAAAAATCTGTTCATAAAATTAGTCGAATTGATAATTCAATTTGTATAATTTATGTCAATACAGTAATCTAATCTAATCAAATCTAATTCATAACAAATTTTTTTCAACTTTTCATTAATTTATCCTTTCACATATTTTCTCTTCAATTTCTAATAATTTTAACAAGCCATTGTAGTAATTAATAATATATTGTCAATTAAATCCTACAATATATAATCATATATGCAGAGAAAATAAGGAATTTCTGGTTTCCAATAAGCTATTAAGCTTAGAGAAAAAAAAGAACTCATAATTGAAATTTGATTACGTATCGATGTTTTTTTTTTCTTTCTATTTTTTTGTCTTTCATCTAAGAATTTTATAGTTAATTGATGTTCAGGGTATTATTTTGTTTTGCTTATTGTATTTTCACTATAAATAAGAATGATATTTTTAGTGTATTCAAATTTTTGAAACATATCTGTGACGTTTTTTTTTTCTTAGAGCAATGCCAGCAAATGATAATATATGAGGAGAGTGTCATCGATAATTATTGATTTCGTGAAAGAATTGATGAATTTTTTCGACGATCTTTCTGGACATTAGTCATCAATTGTTATCATTGAGGTCTTATTATCAGTATTATTAAAAATGGCAATTTTTAGTATTAGCTCGAAATATAATTAGATGACATGTATATTATTAGATGATAAGTGATTATTGTGTAAGTGATTTGTTTACAGAAGATATTGTGGTATTCTTTCCACTATATCTTCCTCTGCAAACATTCTCAAAATTTAATATTTGACTCGATTAAATCGAATAATATTTAATATTTGATCACAAGATTGTAAAACAATCGATAAATCACTTAGATCACTCGTTTGTTCGGTCAAAATATATTTGGCAAATTTTACTTGAAATTTATTAGTTATTTATTCTTGTTAATTATACTTGAAAATTTCACAGTTCTTTCATTTTATACTGCACAAAATTCATTTGTACTATTGTCAACAGTACAGCTTCTCTGTGTGCTTCATTTCTAGTAAATAAATATGTATTATGCATTTAAATTTTCATGCAGAATTCTTCTGTAAATTATGGATAGGAAATTGTAATACAAAAAAGTGACCTGAACATATTAGATGATGATTTGATTAGTGAAACAGATCAATTTTTCATCAATTTTTACGAAATATCAATTCGTTCTGTTCATTTTTGAAATATTTAGAATATTTCAAAGAAAAAAGAAATCCAATTTAGAAATTCTAATGAGTTGATTTTAGGAGAGCGGTTGTTTTTGTTGTTTTTGAAGGCGTGGCGTAGTTGTAATCGGTTGCGACACTGCATTTATTGCAGTCGGCATACATTTCTGTGATTCAGATTTGGATCCTGTTTTAGCTGTCCTGAAATAAAAGATAGACATTGTAAAGATTGATCTTTCAAGAAGTTTTGCAATGGATAGGTTTTTGAAGAACTATTTGGATCGGTAATGGTAATGGAAATTCCATTGATGAGTACTGTAGAATGTTACGGTATCATAACGGGTGCTGTAAAAGCTTATATGGATGATAATATTATAGATAATGAATACGGTACAATCTTACACAGACAACGGTATCGTAGATGGTGGATTTTTCTTAATTTCAGTGCTTTGATTTGTTGCACGAAATTGTTGTTGCAATATTGTATCCTGCGATTTTTGTGTGCATTTTTCTGGTTCAACTTTTTTCTGATCTAGAATTTAGCTTAAACGTTTTGTTAAATCATAATTCAAATTTTTGATTTTTAAATTAGTAATTTTTGAAATTCTCGTCATATCTTGCCAAAATTTTATTAATTTATTTCATTTCAATTCATTTATTTAACATGGGAACATATCATTTTATGAAAGCATTCCTTTTACAAAATTCTTAGAAATGATTTCTTTAAAAATTACACGACTATGTAAATAAAATGTACTTCACAAGAAAAAATGCCAAGTACCACTGAAAATCAGGAATACAAAAAACAAATCATAAAATTTAAACGAAGAAAGAAAAAAGAATACCAATTGTTCCACTGAACTCAGCATTAGGCCCTCCTTGGCTAGTAATTACCGGTGTGAATTCATTTTCATACTTCGTAAGATAATAACAATCAATATCATATGGTTTTTCGTTGAGAATGAGAAATTCACCATCTTATGAAGAAAAAAAAAACGAAACTTTTAAAATTGAATTCGGAAAGAAAAAAATTCTGAAGTTTATTGTAAAATTAGAATATATCATTTCTAAAATTGTATATGCATTTGCTATGCAATTTTAGAAATGAGATATTGTTTGCTATGATTATCAATAAATAATAAAAGGCTATCAATTAGCTACGCTATTCTTTCTCACAATCTCATTAATCTTTATAGCTATAGTTATTAAATTATAGTTATAAAGGTTAGTAAATTAAAATAGAATAAATTAAGATGAAATTACTTGCGAATGGTGAATGACATTTGGTGCACGTAAAACAACATCTATGCCATAATTTATTCATTGCTTTGACACATGTCTCACGTAAAGCTTTCTTACAAACTGCATGAATAAAAAAAAAAAACAATTTTACAGAAATATATAAATTTGGAAAAATTTGAAATTTGAAAAAAAGTTTGTTAAATTTAATTCAAGTAATTATATTTGCAAAGATAAAATAAATTCAAATAAGAATTGCAACAAAATTTGCTAGCAAAAAAAGCAATCAGCTACAAATAACCGTTGCATTTTGGATGATATTCCTCCATGTAGCAATCAATACAGATCGGACAGTTCCTATTACTGTGACATTTCCGGAATGGCCGTCCATCATAACCGACCAGGCAATTACAACGAATACAGGTGAAATGTTCTCGATGCCATATTTTATTCAACGAATAAATTACATTATGCTTAATATAATTTGTATAATTCAGAACGATGGCTTCATGATTTTAAATCAATAAAAATTCTGCTTTAAATAATTTCCATAACAAAATAATATTTTATAAATAACAATTGTAACAAATAAAATTTTGATAGCATCTTTATTTCTGCTATATTTTTTTAACTGACAAAATTTCTTCAATATGCCTAAACTTTTTTCCCATACAATTCTAAATTACAATTTGAAATTTTCTAATTTTTAAAATGAGATATATCAAGATAATGAGAAATCTTTTATTTTTTTCTATTATTGTATTTTTTACTCAGCATTTAAGTATAAAAAGAATTAATTGCAACTGATAATTTCAATTTGGGTTGAAATTATCAAGTGCAAATTTTCAATTAATTATTTCAAAAGTTTTTCATTTTTATCTTTGGAATTGTCAATTGTTGGCATTTATTTATTTATTTATTTATTTATTTATTTATTTATTT